TCACGGATAGCACTGCTAACCTAGTTAATAATAGATTCATCACTAACTTGCTATATTGCTTTTCTTCTCTAATTAATCTTGGCATCATAGTTCATAGCCCGTAGACTTCCAAATTATCTATTTATTTATTTCTTCAGAAATAACGCGTTATTAATGGATAGTCATTGTCTGCCTAAAAATGTCACATTAATTCGTCAACTATCGGTAAATAATTTCATACTTGATATATCAAACTATGATATCTCCCGCTAGCATCGTTCATGTTGATCACGACTATCGATAAATATACTGTAGTACTAACTGATAGAAATTATACTAGAGCTATCGAAGCATATAATGACGGAAGAGAACCCTATTTCAGCAGTCAATAACTTTACGAATACTGTAGTAAATATTCGTATTGCAATCTTAATCGGTAAAAACCTAGAAATAATCTATCTCTGATCGATAGTATTATAGCAGGAAGTTTCCAAGGAAATACTTTTCTTGTTGAAAGTCCCTGATGATAGCTTATCATTGGAAATAATAATAATATACTGTAGGCACCAGTTAGTACTATTCAGTTATAAGATACGAACGCGATGTCATAGTTTTACGTTACTTGTTTCCATGCTCGTTATGGTAGGATAATATTCATAATCACTGCGACTATCCGACATGCATTAAAGCATTATTCAGCACAGCAACGCCTATAACTAATCTGCATTCAATATTATAGTCCATCGGGGATCATTTTGTTTTAATTCTAAGCAAATTTCTGCACGTGTATTGTGTATTGCATATAATTATAAACTAATGTCACTACATATCGAAATTACGTATTTTAGTAATACAAAATTTAAATAATTTATAATCTTAGTTCTATACTTGTATAGTACACAGCATATATAACTTAAATACGTATATAATAAAGGAACTAGATGAAATAGTTAATATAGCAATCGAAAGCTTAAAAATTACTTACAATTTTAATTACATGTATGTGCTAGTATTTTGTGTATAGCATAAAATAAATGCGTTTAAAAGATGCAATGGGATGGCGTAATTAATTAACTAATCGAAAATTGAAAAAAATAATTTTACATTTTAAATTATGTGCTAGTATTTTATATATATGTAAACTTAAGTATAAAAATGAAACTGGATGACAAAATTAATTTACTAATTGAAAGTTTTAATATCTTATAATTTTAATATTACAGCTAGTTTAAATGAAGTAGCTCAAGAGATGGACAATAAAGCAAAGTATACCTATAATCATAATAACGCTTCGTTCTATGGTTCATCCAACCAAAATGACCATGACGATATAAATCGTGAAGCCTTTGCTTCAGGCATCATATTTTGGAGAGTATTTATCTACTGTGTATTAATAGCAGCGACAGTTATTGGTAACGGTATCGTATTGTTTATATTTTATAAGAGGCCTAGTTTGCGTATTCCTGTTAATTTCTTCATCATTAATTTAGCAATTACCGATATTTTAACAGGCCTAACCAGACAACCAATTATTGTTATCGATTTGTTAAGTAGAGGAGAGTCATTTATTCATACAATCTGCGGCTTAAGTGGGGTAACGCTATGTGTATGTTATGTCGTCACAATCTTTACCTTGCTTGCAACAGCACTATGTCGCTATTTGGTTATTGTACGCTCTTACGGTAGGAAGTTATCGACGAAAGTTGTAGTAATAATTATGTCTTTTATCTGGGTTTATGGAACAATCGATTGCTTATTACCCATCTTTGGTTGGAATCGCTATGTGTACCAACCCGAAGAATACACTGTTTACCTGATGGC